CATCATCATCATCTCATCTCATCATCATCATCATCATCATCATCATCATCATCATCATCATCATCATCATCATCATCATCACCATCATCATCATCATCATGATCATCATCATCATCTTGATCATGATCATCATCATCATCATCATCACCATCATCATCATCATCATCACCATCATCATCATCATCTTCATTATCATAACCATCATCATCATCATCACCATCATCATCACCATCATCATCACCATCATCATCATCATCATCAGCACCATCATCCTCATCTTCATCCTCATCCTCCTCTGGTGTCCTTCTCACGGGCCAGCGCTCATTTGCGCTTCTGGGAGGGTCGCAAGAGGCCCCAAGATGGCCCCAAGAGGCCCCCAGGAGGCTCCCAAGAGGCCTCCAAGCGGCCCCCAAGAGGCCCCCAAGAGGCCCCAAGAGGCCCCCAAGAGGTCCCCAAGAGGCCCCCAAGAGGCCCCAAGAGGCCCCAAGAGGCCCCCAAGAGGCCCCCAAGAGGCCCCCAAGACGCCCCCAAGAGGCCCCAAGAGGACCAAAAGGGGCCCCCAGAGGCCCCGGGAGCACGAAACGACTCACACCAGGACGGTTGGCCCGCCGAACGACTCACACCACGAAGACCCTAAGGGGGACTACCACCCCAAGGAGGGCCGAAGACTCAACCAGGAAGGCGCCCGACCGAACTTCACACCACGAGGAGCCCGACAACTCAACCACGACGCGGGCCGCCGAACGACTCACCCACGATGCAATGCCCGACGAGTCACACCATGGGAGGGGCCGGCGCGAGCTCACCCAGATGAGGGGCCCGAAACACCTGCACACCACGAGGAAGCCCTACGACTCACACCAGGCACGAGAGCCCGAACGACTCACACCACGAAGAGCCCGAACGACTCACACCAGGAAGAAGGGCCCGAACGACTGACACCAGGACGAGAAACCCCAAACGACTCAAATCACGAGGAGCGCTTTCTCTCCCTCCTCCTCCGCCTCGCCCTTCCCCCGCCCCCCCCCCCCCCACACAAGGAGGATGTACAAGGAGGCGGGAGGAAGGAGGAACAGGGGAGATATGCGGGGCCAAGCGGACACACGCCTGAAAAACACGACTGTCGGCATGCTTCGCAAGAGTTGCTGCCGCGAGATGGGCTGGCGGGGACACGCGAAGCGTAAAGAATTAGTGGACTGGGAAGGGGCGCCCCACAAACATCTTGGATGTGGGATCCATGCCCCGGCGCATGTACTTCAAAGCCCCGACCTTCCCTGTCCCAGCAAAGCGATGGCAGCGCGCGGCCAAGTCCTTGACCTGCTTCCGCGCGCGGCAACCGCACTGCATGCAGAAATACAAATCCGAGCCAAGCACCCACATGCGATGCGACCCGTGCGTCCGCGCAAGCACCCTCGGCTTGCCAGGACATTCATTCTGGATGATTGCACTGCGACGAGCCGCATTCACTCCACAAATTCTGCAACCCCACCTGCCATCAGCATTGCGAAGCAGGTGGCCTCGATCCGCCGTGGTGAGTTTTAGCACGCACAAGGGTTCATCACCTACCTTCTGGGTCTGCCTGGGGACCTTTGTAGCCCTCGGGACCTTATCCACATCTGGAAACCCTAGAGTACTAAGGCGCCTCAGAGTGCCTGCCAGGAGCCTCGCGAATTGCCCGCCGAAGTTCTTGGCCGCCTGAATCCTTTGATCCAGCTGGGGAACTACTGGATGCTCAGGAGCCCCCAACCTCGAACACTTATCAGCCTGCCAATTTCCAGGGTACCAGGAGTCCGAGGAACCGTGCTTCTTGAGCCACATTCTGCTCTTATGTGACGGCATCCACTGAAGATTCACATCCTCTGACCCCACGTCACTCAATTTCCAGAATATAAGCCGCCAGACTTCCCACTACGGTTCTGAAACTCTACACATCTGCTCGGGGCCCTTCTGGAGACCTATCAGGAGGTTCTTGTGGTCCGCGATAATGGTCGCCCTGGGCCCCATAAGACACAATGCCACGTAGAACGCGAAATGCTCTGCCAAGCCCGCGCTCTGCACAGGCCCCGGCACGGGCCCGTAGGCCACCGCTGAAACTTGCTCGCTGCAGTGCTTGAGAGATACGACCGCCCATCCTGCCCTCGTCATCCACTCCACATCTGGATTGACCCCCGAGCCGTCTATAAAGATCTCTTCGCCGAGGTAGCCGCATCCTAGGAGACCGCGCTGAGGGCATCCGTGATCTTGCAAGGGCGGAGGCATGGCGTCTCTCATATTGTCTGTGACCCCGAAGTCGACTAAGCAGTTGCCTGGGAACCCCCGACCGACCGACACGACCTCATCATAACCCTGATCGCGACGCCATGCCTCTAAGCCGTCGCAGCCGTAAAGTCTGTGAGATATCGAGCCTGAAGGGTGTCCGCACCACCTGCAGGCGGACGACAAGGAATACCGCTCTTCGAAGAGCTCGGACTGCGTCCACAATCCACCTGACATATGCATTGAAACGAGGTCTGCTGATACTGATTGGCCTCTGGCCCGAAGAACCTGCAGCTCTGCCTTGATCGGGTCCAAGAAGGGGGTCCCATTCCAGCCCATGTGTTTAGCCGCTTGCAGCTCCTGGTGCCTTTTGAGGCCCCTGTGGATTAGCGCTTTGAGGGTCTTGATACTAGCCTTCTCGAGGTCCACCACGAGCCCTTGAGAATCCACCCAAAGCTTGAAAGACCTGATTTGCCACCCAAGACGACGCAAAGTCAATGCAACAGCTCCCCCTGGGCCACACACGGTAGCCCATCCCAGACTGATCTTGGACAAACTGGCCTCAAAAATAGTCTGCATAACGCCCTGAGGAGCCCGACCTTCATAGAGAGTCTGAAGCCACGTCGTGAGGGGTAGGGCGTTTATCAGGCACGCTGGGTCGGGGTCGGGCGGGTCGTGCATCAAGCACCGCACCGCCCTGGACCTACCCTTGGCCTTGCCAAAGAGGGCGAAGGCCGATGCCGCGCTGGGGTTAGAGAGATCTGCATCATCCATGGCACATACCCTGACCCCATACGAGGCCGATGCGAGGCCCCCCGCTCGGAACACTCTCGAGAGCCCCCGCTTGTGGCGTCGGAGAGCACGGAACCGATGAGATCTCTTGCGGAGGTTATTCACGCGGCCTTTCAGAACTCTCTTACCTTTCCTTACCTGCTGGCTGAAGTCGCGCCCGAGGTTCTTGACACTCGAGCACACCTTGAAATGTAAAACTCTCGAGGTTGGCGCCGAGATCCTGCGCCAACTTGCTGGGCGACGCGACGATCTGGCACTTCTTCCTAGACACTGAAAACTCCATATTGCGCAATCGCTTGCAAAGTGCTGGGAGAGCTCTAGACAGGGACTCTCTGACGAACTTCTCCGATCCGAGCGCCGAGACCGTGATATCGTCTACCATTACATACAGGGATAGCGATGGCCAGTACTTCTGCATGCACACAAGCGAGCCATACAGCACAACACGCAACATCGTCGTAGCGAACGAACAGCCTGCTATAATCGAACATGCGATCGCGAAGATACTCGAAACCACCTCTCGAATCTCAATCATCCTCGGCCCCCCATACACCATTATCAGCAGGCGAGCACGTCGAAGACTAAACTGATGCTTCTGGCAGGCGGCCCTTCATAAGCCTTGTCAAGATCAATCAACCCTGAACCTGAAAAAGCCCCGATAGCGTTGGCCGCCTCTGCTTGGGCCGCCCGCTTCCAAATTGACTGCTCGCAAGACTTGCCTTTGGAGCCATATACGCACTCAAGGCGGTGCTCGCGCTCCCACTTCTTGGCCTCCGGGTGCCGAATGCGTCCGAGCAGCCGCACGCACGTGGCCAAGATGCCGATCGGACGGTACCCACCGTCGGGTTTCTTCAAAAAGGCGATGAACGCCACGTGACACTGCTCTGGAATAATTAGATACGTTTCCACAAAGGATAAGAACTCAGCGAAAACAGCCAGACCTTGATCACTCAGTTGCCCCAAGTTCCCTGGAATCCAGCCGTCTATCCCAATCGCAGTGTTCTTCTTGAACTTCTGAAGGGCCTCTCGAACCTCTGACACCGCGGGCACAAGAGGGGGGCCCCCAAGCGGCACGTTCAGGTCCTGGGCTCTTAACCTGGATGGTGCACCTTCACGCCATATGTGCATCCATTATTCCAAGAGGGCCTCCAGCGCGTCGACAGGCCCCGCTGGGGCCCCGTCCAGACCAGCCCCATCAGGGACCCATCCCTGAGGCTCCTTCGTCCACCGAAACACTCCTCCTCCTCCTTGCTTGAGATTCTGATCCACCCATTGCCTCCACTGCTGAGTCTTCTTCGTCCTGGCGCTCGACTCTTCCGTATCTGCAATGGCCCGCACGGCCGCCAAAGCGCCCTGCAACTCCACGTGGGAGACGGCGGCGCACAGCTGAAAGCTTTGCTTAAAACTCACCCACTCTGGAATGCTGCTGAGTACCTTCACTGGGGCCTCGAGCTTCCGAACTAAATCCTGAACTCCAGCCGAATCCCAAGAGTGCTCCTTCCCATGAAGATAAATCAGCTCCTCCAGCCAAACCTGATATCTCCTGAGCATCCTGGACCCCCGACTGCACCGTGGATAGGGACCCGAAACGTGCTTCTGCAAAACTGGCTTCTCGACCACCTGGAACTTAAAACCCCGACCGCAGTACATCACACGCTCAGCAGCCTCGATGCCTAGCACGTCGCACAGCCCCCGCTCCATGGTGTCACACATCTCCCCATAGAGCACAGATAACTCTGCACACGATGGCTGCCGTCGCAGCCGTTCAAACTTGCCCTCGAAATGGGCCCAGTCCAGTGGCGGAGGCGTTGGACCTGTGGGCTTATCTAGCGGAAAAGGCTTCGGCACCTTCAGCACCTTCTGAGTCCTCTGATGTGCCATCGTACCTAGTCTAAATGAAACTGGATAATGAGTCCTGTTGCTGGAATCTTCTCGCCTGACGCAAGCCCGAACTTCCCCGACAAGATCGCGCAATACGACAAAGTAGTCAAGTTCACGCCACGCCCTGCCTACTCGACATGTTGGCTTCCCCGAATTGACTACCACGGCTCTAAGTTTTCCCAAGACAGGCATCTTCTGGACCTCCGAGGGCACATTCGCCCAGTCAGCAGCTATCACAAAAGGCCTCTGAGAACTATAGAGAAACTCCCCCAGCTGGTTGAGCAGTCGTTTACCCTTAGCTCCTTGGACCCCGTCTCCATCAGGAAAGTACAGCGAACATATATAGCAACCACCACGCACACAACCATTGACCCACACAATTGTTGAACGCGCATGGTGAAGGTGCCGCGCTCCACATGCAACATCACTGACGCCTCTGTGCTGACGAACGCAAACTGCTACTCCTGCTGAGACGCCCCCCAGGTCCGTCTGGTCAGCAGGACTGAGACGCAGCTTCCAACCCTCGTCGGCCGCTGACTTCTCAGACTGTGAAACATAGGGTTTCAGGACCCTGCACTCCTGGACGCAAAGAACTGATGAACTCTTGAACATATCGTCTGTCAGGGCTGCGAGCGCGCCTGACCAACCTGATGTATTCACCGTGGTGATCTCCCACGTAGTGGTAGAGGAACTGTTCCGACTGGTACTCTTGGGCGGCGACGCGCCGCTCGTGCTAAACGCTCGGCGTGCCCGACGCAGGAGCCGCCACACCTCCCTTGCCAGCACCTGGGCCCTTCCCGAGGATCGGATGGGTGCCCACCAAGCGCCTCGCATGAGCGCGAAGCTCCTCCGACGACTTCGCCATGCCCTTGCCCGCTGCCTCCGCCGAAGCCGCAGCGCCAGCTTGCGCTGGCGGCTCGGCCGTGCCCGGCTGTGGGCTGCCCTCGGCGGGCGCCGCACCTGCGCCTGCCTGCGCTGGCGGGGCCGAGCCTGCAACCTCAGGCGCCACAGGCTCCTGGCGGCGCCGCTTCGACTGCAACCGAGTCTTGAGCTCCTCATGCTCCTTCTTGTACTGCTCCGCCTTCTGCTTAAGATCTCCAAACATCGCCTTAGCGAGCGTCTGGAACTGCTCCTTGAGCTTGGCCTCGCGCTTGCGCTCCTCCTCCTTATCTGTCTCCTCGACATCCACGAACTCCGCCAGGCCGAAGAGGTCCTCCCCGCACGAGAGTGTCCACTCCTGCTTCCCCTCCAGCATGGCCTCCAGGCTGAGGGTCGACGGAGCCTGCGGGGCGTCCACGGGCGGCACGACGACGGCGTGCAGCTCCTTGATCGCCTCTGTGTAGATGCCCTCCTGCGTCTCGATCTGGTCCAGGAGCGTGGTGACCTTCGCCTCCTGCTCCGTGACCTGCTTCTGTAACTTCTCCAACTGGGCGGACTCGGCGCTGAGGTCCTTCTCCAGCTGCTTGATGCACTTGTGGGCCTGATCCGCCCTGACTTGAGGCGGCACGTGCTGCTTGTCCCTGATGGCCAGCACCTGCTGGTAGTACTCGACCATATGGTTATTATTGCTCTTTCTCCGAGCTGCACCAACTGCTGCAACTCTGGCACCGTGAGCTCAGGCACTGGGTCCGAACAGGCCTGGACGGGACCTGGTTGAAGAGGCGGTCCGTGCACAGGAGCGCGACCACCAAGCCCAGGCGGAGTGCCCAGGTCACGGCCTTTGCCCTTGGGCTTCTTGGTCTTGCCCGTCTTCCAGTGCCGCTCGCAATGCTTGCACCAGTGCTCGCTGATGGGTGTCTTGCCGCACCCGCAGTGCAAACATTTCCAGACAGACGCGTCATGCCAGCCGCCTGCCATCGCGCGTCTCTTCGGAAAACCTGCGAGGGCGCCGAAATCTTCGTGAATTTTTTGGCCCCCACCCTGGGCCAGGGCTTCTGATCGAGGGCCGTGCGGGTCCCTAGACCACCTTGAGCCCCAACCCCAGGGAAGGCGAAGGCCCCAGGCAACGGCTTGAGCCAAATGGCTTGAGCCAAAGGCTACGGATCCTCCTCCTCCTCCTCCTCCTCCTCCTCCTCCTCCTCCTGCCTCCTCCTCCTCCTCCTCCTCCTCCTCCTCCTCCTCCTCCTCCTCCTCCTCCTCCTCCTCCCCCTCCCCCTTCACCTCCCCCTCCTCCTCCTCCTCCTCCTCCTCCTCCTCCCCCTCCCCCTCCTCCTCCGAAGTGGTTGAGGATGGACCTAAGACGACCGAAGAGGCATGTATGCGGGGGCACCCTTGGGAAGGCAATCATCCTTACGATCAGTGTTGAATGCATGCAAGGCGTGCAAAGCAGGTCGGGAGCTCTTTCGCTCAAACCTAACAGCCCCAGGCCGCCGGCTGGGGGGCCAAAACCGGCTGAGCACACGGGGGCCAGCAGCACCGCGGACGGTCGGAGGTCCGCGCGGAGTTCGCGGGTCGGCGCAGGACCCGGAGGCGTCGCCGTGGGGCTCCAGCGCCAGCCTCCCCTCCCCCCCCCCGGAAGCACCCGAGAGGGGCCTCTCCTTGCCCTTGAAGCTCGTGCTCACCCAGCCGGTGGCGGGCCCCTCGCCCTCGACGAGCTCGAAGCGGAGGCGGCCGTCCTCGCGCTCCAGGGCCTCGGCGGGGGGCAAGGGAGGGGCGAGGGGCCTCGACATAGGGGGGGGCGGCCAGCTCCGAGGGGGAACGTCAGGCTCGAAGCGGCGGCGCATCGCCGATGCGTCGACGGTAGGCCCCCGAGAGCGAATCCGCACGTTCCGGGGCGGGGTGGGGCTATCAGACTCCCATCGGCGATCAGTGGGTGGTTGGGGGTCGATGCATTCCCCCCCCCCTGAGCCTGTCCCCCCCCCCATCGGTGCCCCGGATAGGAGGAGGGAGGGAGGGAGGGAGGGAGGAAGGGCCCCAGGGAGGCCAAAACCACGTACTACCCTACACTTGTTTGAACGTCTTGGGCGCCCGTCTTCACCTTTCTGGGCGTCTATCAGCTCGAAATGGCCCTGGAGGCCTCCAAGATGGCCCCAGGATGGCCCCCCGATGGCCCAACAGACCCCCGAGAAGACGGAATCAGCCCCCAGGACGGCCCCAAGACGACGCGAGCGGGCCCGTAGAGCGCTCCAAGCTGCCCAACAGGGTACTGTGGAGGAGATAAGGACGAAAGCGAGAAAGGAAAGGAGGGGAGGAAGAGGACCAAGTGCCCAGGGCCAAGGGCAGCGCCGCGCCAGGGAGGTCCCAACGGCGCGGCAGGCAAACTCGCGGCAGGCGCCGCGCACCCGCACAGGACAGAAAGAGACCCTGAAACAGAAAGGGAGCACACCCCCGAGAGGTCCCAGAGGGGAGGAAAAGCAGGAGGATTTTCGTTGGCCTCGACGACAGCTCCTGGAAGGTGGCAACACCTGCAGTGAGGGACCTGCAGAAAAGAAGAGAGCTTGAGCGGGTCCTTTGCATTCCCGTGAAGCGAACTTGGCCACAACAGCACCTGGAACCGCCCACAAAGTTCGAATGAGGAGGAAGCCGCATACAACATCCAATGTGTGAGAACTCTTTCACGGTGCTATCCAGAGATATGGGGGGGGGGGAGAAGGTGGGGGGGGAAACAAAAAAAAAAAAAAAAAAAAAAAAAAAAAAAAAAAAAAAAAAAAAAAAAAAAAAAAAAAAAAAAAAAAAAAAAAAAAAAAAAAAAAAAAAAAAAAAAAAAAAAAAAAAAAACGCGTGGATCCTAACATGAATTCTTTAATGTTGTCGTAAGCCATGTAACGTCGTTGGTTCATTGTTGTTGCCACCGTGGTTGTTTGGTACCTCCAGCGTAATGCTGTTCCACTTCGCCACCAGATGGTCGCTCCACGCTGTATACATATTTCCGTAGGTCGTCGTCCCATCTTTTGCGCGGAGCACCGTGTCGGCGCCATTCCTGTTGTTTCGCGCGGGGATCGGGGTTCTACTTGAGAACGCGTTGTGTCCACCGACTCGGCGTGTGGTTCGCATCTTGTGCAGCCCAGCGCTAGGATACTTTGCTGTGTAGCTGTACAACATCCAGGATATTGGGCTGTACCACAGAATGGTTTGGGGGAAGGGAGAGAGAACAAAAAAAACAACAACAAAAAACACCAAAAACAAAAAAAAAAAAAAAAAAAAAAAAAAAAAAAAAAAAAAAAAAAAAAAAAAAAAAAAAAAAAAAAAAAAAAAAAAAAAAAAAAAAACGGCGAAGTGCCCGACCATTTGCAGTTGTATCGCCGATGTGAATATCGCCTTCAGTAAATCTGCTTGCGGGGCCACGATCCGTGTGAGGGTGTGCCGAAATGGGCGCGGGGCCGCCATGCGAACGCTGCCACTGGGGCCTTCGGTGGAGCTCCCCACGGGGCCGCGAAAAGTGTGAGGGTGTGCCGAAATTGGCGCGGGGCGCCAGGCGAACGCTTCCACTAGGGCCTTCGATGGAGCTTCCATATGGGGCCACGAAACGTGCGAGGGGGGCGCCGACATGGTCGCGGGGGCGCCATGCGAACGCTGCCACTGATGCCTCTGGCGGAGTTCCCTTTGGAGCACGAAACGTGCGAGTGGTGTGTCAAAATGGGTGCGGGGCTGACACTGGGGCCTTCGGTGGAACTGCCTACGAGGCAACGAAACGCGCCCGAAGTGGGCGCGGGCCCGCCATGCGGACCCTGCCACTGGGGCCGTCGGCGGAATCCCCCCATGCGAACCCGCCACTGGGGCTTTCGGTGGAGCTCTTTATGGAGCCACGAAACGAACGAGGGGAACCACATGCGAACCTTGCCACTGCGGCCTTCGGCGGAGCTCCCTATGGGGCCACGAACCGCGCGAGGGGTGTGGCGAAAAGGGGGAGGAACCGCACGCGACCCCTGCCACCGGGGCCTTCGGCGGAGTTCCTTCTGGGGCCACGAAACGCGCGAGGTGGGCGCCGGAATGGTCGCGGGAGCGCCATGCGAACAGTGCCAACGCTGCCTTCGGCGGAGCTCCCTCTGGAGCACGCAACGTGCGAGTGGCGCGCCAAAATGCGCGCGGGGCCGATGCGAACCCTGCCACTGGGGCGTCCGGTGGAGCTCCCTATGGGGCCACGAAGCGAACGAGGGGAACCGCATGCGAACCCTGGCACTGGGGCCTTCGGCGGAGCTCCGTATGGTGCCACGAAACGCGTGAGGGGTGCGGCGAAATGGGGGTGGAACCGCACGCGAACCCTGCCGCTGGGGCCTTCTGCGGAGCTTCCTCCGGGGCCACGAAATGTGCGCGGCGCGCGCCGAAATTGGTGGCTGACGATGGTGACGGCGACGGCGATGCGAAGATGATGATCGCGACGATGACGATCCCGCTCTGCCGAGGGGGGGACAACCGCCGACTCGCGATCTCCCCCGAACTCTTCAATCAGCTACATTACTTCGAGGCGCCCCCCACCTCTCGCGGGAGACCTCGACCGGTCTCGGCGCGGCACAGCGGCAGGGTCACTCACTCACGGGGAACTTGGGCCCCCTCCCCAGGGTTTCCGCGCAGACACGCCCCAAACTGCACCAGTCTCAATCCGTCGCCGAGAGCCCTTGGGCCTCAGCCCTCAGTGCACAATTCTACTCGTCCACGTCCACGCACGTCGCGCCCTGCGGCGCGGTCGTCCGTGAGCCGATGTATCGCGCAAAACCTGAGCTCATCCACAGCGTCGTACTGCCCCGTGGACGCGGCCGCCAGCGCGTCGAGGCTGGCGCGGTCGAGGACATGCGCCCTCTCGATCGGCCCCCCCAGGCCGAAGAGCTCCGAGTCGTCCATCCGGTCAAAGAAGTGCTCGCCGAAGGGCTCCGCGACGTAGGCCGACGCCGCCACCGCTTGCTCGCCGAGGGGTTCCGCGAAGTCGGGCGCCGCCGCAGCCGCCTGCTCGCCGAGGGTTCGTGATGATGATGATGATGAGGATGATGAAGATGATGTTGATGTTGACGGTGATGATGCTGATGATGGTGACGGTGATGGTGATGATGAAGATGATCGTGATGATGATGGTGATGATGGTGATGATGGTGATGATGGTGATGAGGAGGGGGAGGATGGTTGGTATGTGGATGCTGACAAGGATGATGATGAGGAAGGTGATTGGATGATGGGATGATGGTGATGATGGTGATGATGGTGATGATGATGATGATGATGATGATGATGATGATGATGATGATGGGAAAGGGAGGAGTGGGAGGAGGGGGAGGAGGAGAGGACAGGAAGGCGGGACGCTGTCTCTTCAAAACGAAGATCCAACGCCAAACGATGCTTTGAAAAAAAACGGTAAGGGCGACGGATGTCTATGTTTGTTCCGCTTGTCTTCCCAGGAGGTCCAACACTTGCCTGGGCTCCCTTTTCAAAGGATACCTTTTTGTGGGCGATTTGCATGTTGCTTTCTAGGGTGGATTACGAATAGAATCCGCGTGCGCGGCTTTTCAACTGGATTCATGATGTGGGCGATTTACACTAGGGATCTTTTTGCGGCGAATTGCAACAGGAGCGAAGAGTGTGTGCCACGGGAGCCCCATGCGACCTGTTTGAATGTGAGCTCTCTGGATTCCTGCTTATTCTTCCTTCATCACACAGGATCAGGTACTCACAGCGTTCCTTCCTGGTGAGTGAACGGGACCCGCTGACTCGCTCGAGCTGGCTGGCTCGACTCCTCCTCCTACTTTCCCCCCTCTCCTCTTCCTCCAAGGCCGTGCACGGCGACAGCAAAACCGAAAACCGACCGAACCGACAGCGGAACCGAAACCGACCGAAACCGAGGCCGAGCGCATCCCAGAAAGGCGCAGCGACGCGGCAACGGCACGATGACCGACCGAACCGAACCGATCGAACACAACGGACTGCGACGCAACCGAGCCGACCGAACCGTGAACGCCCCTGTGTCCTCGACTGGGGAGGCGGTATCGGCAGCCTCTCCCCTGTCGACCTCGGCGGCGGCGGGAGGGCCGCGCCTGGCCGTGCCGGCGGAACACCCGCGGCCGGGAAGCCACGCTCGAAGTGCCTCCGCAGTCCGCCACCGTGCACCCCTGGCACTCTGAGGCACGGCCGAATGCCAAGTGCTGCACAGTCAAAACGCATCATGAGGATGCGCGGCAAGGATGCAAGGGGTAGCCTTGGAAAGCTGCTGATCCCGACTATGCGAGTTGACTCTCTGGCAGGGCTCCTGCAAGTCTTGCAATGGTACATGGGCGGCCCGACGCCGCTCTGAGAGGACGAGGAGAAAGGAGGAGGAGGAGGAGGAGAAAGGAGGAGAGAGGGAGAGGAGGAGGAGGAGGAGGAGGAGGAGGAGGAGGAGGAGGAGGAGGAGGAGGAGGGATCCCCAGACGGCCCCCCTACGACTGTACTGGAGCCCTCCCTCCGTCCGCATCCCCGGCGCAAAAGGGCGTAAGGGGCGGGCAACGTGCGGGGGGGGACGGGCTCAGGAGGGAAGCATCGGCCTGAAATCGGTGATGCATCGCCGATAGATCGGCGAAAGACCCCCCATAGAGATTCCGAACGTAGCAGGGCGGGGTGGGCTGTCAGGGCCGTCGGCGATCAGTGCGCGACAAGGGGGCCAATGCAACCCCCCCTGATCGGAGCAGGGGAATGGGGCAACGCCAGCTCAAAATCGGTCCCTGGACCCCTCCCAGGGTCCCAGCGCACCAGCTCTCCGAGCTGCATCCAGCCGTGGCGACCCAAGGGGGCCCCCCAAAAGGCCAACCACCGTGGCCTCAGCTCGCCCCCCTCGGACCCGAGCCTGCCCCCCCCCCCCCTCCTGACGCTGCCCCCCGAGCGCTGCCCCGGGGCTGCGCCTTCACCACGGCGCCCGTCGCCAGGAGCTCCCCGAGCTCGGGCGCCGAGAGGTCGCTCCCCCCCCGCACGGCGAGGCCGCCCTTCGGCTGCGGAGGTCGGAGGGGGGCCCTCCCCCCGAAGGACGAGGCGGAGGAGGAGGAGGAGGAGGAGGAGGAGGAGGAGGAGGAGGAGGAGGAGGAGGAGGAGGAGGGGGAGGAGGGGAGGATGAGGAGGAGGAGGAGGAGGAGGAGGAGGAGGAGGAGGAGGAGGAGTTCAGGGGGAGGGGGCAAGCTAGTTGCGCTCTCGTCATAACTTGACGTCTACCCCTCTCTCTCATCCTTTACCATGGCGTTGTATCCTCTCTATTCGCACGACGGAAATGTCGAGCAAGGGCAATAATCGCGAGAGTGTACGCGTGCATCGTAGGGCACGGCATGGGCTAGCTGGAGGGCACGGCATCAGCGTAGAATGTCAGCATGGCCGTGGGCATTTTGTATGTGAAACATTGCTCACAAAGCGCTGCAACGCAAAAACAAAAAAAAAAAACAACAAAAAAAAAAAAAAAAAAAAAAAAAAAAAAAAAAAAAAAAAAAAAAAAAAAAAAAAAAAAAAAAAATGCCACAGAGGCGTAGAACAGGACACCGCGCAGCATGTCATGGCAGGGCACCCGGTTCCTGGGAGGGTAAGTGGATAGTCTTCGAAGGGTCGGGGCTGGTCTGGAGTCGCGGCTCCATGCTTAGCTCCCTGGGCTGCACGACAAGCTCCCCACAATGCGGGGCTGATGGAAAGCACCCGCTGGCTCTGGTTGCAAGATCGCCTTCTGAAAATATAAACGGGACTCTCGCTTGATACTTCCTCCAAACGCCGCCGCCCCGAAGTGGGAAGTGGGGGGGAGGGGCCTTCTGCGGCCGAAAAACTCAACGAATCCGCACCGGATGTGTAACAACTTGCGACTTGTTTCTGAGATTAAGTTTCTAGATTTGGGGCCCATTTGGAAGGACCGAAAACACCCGCGCTGCAGCGGGAGCACGTTTTGGAACAACCAGAGGCGCAAAGATGGGGCCAGCGCTGCAGCGGGAGCAACATTTCAAAGGACCGAAAAGACTCGGAGTGCCAAAAGCACATATGAAAACCAGGAAATGAGGCCAGCGCTTCAGCGGGAGCAACATTTTCTTGCCGATATATACATATATATATATATATACATACATTTAAAAAACGGGAGTCCGGTGTAAAAAACACGGAGGGGGACGAATCTTTCCTAGACGTCATCAGGAAAGAGAGAGATAGAGAGAGAAGAGTAAGTAGTATTCATACTGTGCAATTGTGAAGGGAGGAGGAGGAGGAGGTGAAGGAGGAGGAGGGAGTGGAGGAGGGGAAGGGGGGGGAGTGGGAGGAGGAAGGGGAAGGGGGGCGGGGGAGGGGGAGGAGGGAGGGAGGGAGGAAGGGGAGGAGGAGGAGGAGGAGGAGGAGGAGGACCAGGGTAAACCCTAGACTCATCAACGATGTTGAAATACACCCTCCCTCCAAGATCCCTCTTCACAGGCCCCTGTAAGGGGGCATTTCCACTTAGGGAATTGCCCCGTTGGGGGAAAACCGTGTGTACATCTTGGAGCGTTCCACAACACCACTCTCAGGACTTCAACGCCGCGAGTTGACCTGACTGTTACGTCTTCGCGAGTCTGAATTGTGACAAAACACGATTCCTGCGACTGTAGCACCGCGAAACAACATAAATATTGCGTCCTGGCATATCTTGAATCGTTCAAACAAAAATGTTTCTGGCAAATGTTTGACACGAATGTGCGCGGCGCCAAGGCGACAGCCACATGTTGAAAACGAAGCGCCCTCAATCCCTGAATCTCTTGCAGCTGTTGAGAAAAATGCGCACGGCGCTAAGGCGAAAGCCACACATTGAAAACGAACCGCCCTCAATCCGTGGCGGTCTTGAAATTCATCAAACGAATGTGCGCGGCGCTAAGACACACACAGTTTGGAAAACGAAGCGCCTTCCGTCCATGAAATTCTCGCAAATGTGTCAAGGAAATGTGCGCGGCGCCTAGGCACAAGCCACGTTTCGAAAACGAACCGCCCTCAATCCGTGAAATGCCTGCAATGTTTAAAAACAAATGTCCGCGGCGTCAAAGCGAGGCCCACATGCTGAAAACCACCCGCCCTCAATCCGCGAAACTATCACAAGCTTTACAAACGAATACGCGCGGCGCTACGGCGAGAGCCACATTTTGAAAACGACCCACCCTCAATCCGTGAAGCTGTTGTCAACTGTTCAGCAACAGGGTCATGTGTGGTGAGCAGGTCTCAAGCGAAAGGCCCGGCCCGTCCGTTCGACGGGCCCTGGGGTGCGACGGGGAGGAGCGATCTAGAAGAATAAGGAATGGATGGAGGGGGGGAGGGCGGGAGGGAGGAGGAGGAGGAGGAGGAGGAGGAGATGAGGAGGAGGAAGGAGTAGGGAGGGAGGGGAGGAAGGGAGGGAAGGGAGGCGGGCTGGGGGGAGGGGTGCGCAGAGGCGAGCGTCCGCGGATAGATGGTGGAGGGCCAGGCGTGGCCAGGGCTGTGGCATGGTTGCGGCGGGGCCAGGGCGAACATAGGGAGGCGGAGGGCTGAGTAGGGGGACCGTGATCGATGATCGGCCTGCTCATCCTCCTCCCTCCTCCTCCTCCCCCTCCTCTCCTCCTCCTGCCTCGTCCTACTCCTCCTCCTCCTCCTCCTGTGCAATGCGCACGTAAACTTGAAGGGACAAAGTGCGTAGCACGAAGCGCCAATGCAGCATTGGATGACTATTCATACAAATACGTGTACACATCTAGATAGATCCATATGCAGCTCACTTCGATATTACATACACATGGATCGAACGGTGTCTGAATATCTATATATATATATATATGTATATGTATACACGTATACCTATTTACCTGCACATGCATAGATGAATGAATGCATGCATACATGCATTCATGAATACATGCGTACATGCAAACATACATACATGCATGCATGCATGGATGCATCCTTATATACATACATACATATATATATATATGTATACATACATACATACATACATACATACATACATATATACATACATACATACATACATACATACAAACATACATATATACATACATACATACATACATACATACGTACATGCATACATACATACATACATACATACAAACAAACATACATGCATGCATACATACATACATATATACCAACATACGTACATACATACATACATACATAATATACATACATACATGCATACATACATACGTACGTACGTACGTACGTACGTACATACGTGCGTACGTACATACATACATGCATACAGACAGCCAGACAGACAGACAGATATACATGCACACACATACATACATACATGCAGACATACATACATGCATACATGCATACATGCATACATTCATGCAAGCATGCATACACACATGCATACATATACATACGTAAGTACATATATACATACATGCATATATGGATACATGCGTACGTATATAAATGCATGCATGCATGCATGCATACATGCATACATACATACATACATGCAGGCTGGCAGGCACACATGCATGCATGCATACCTACACACATTCACACACAAACACGCACATGCACAAGCACACACGCATACACATATGCATCAATGCATGCATGCATGCATACAAATATACACATGTACATACGTGCGTACAGACAGACACAGGACAGACAGACATGCATGCATGCAAACATGCACATATACATACATGCATATATACGTACGTACATGCATACAAACATACATACAAACGTACGTACAGATGTACATGTTTGCATGCATACATCCAGACATACATACATGCATACAAACATATATAGACATACATACAGACAGACATGCGTGCATGCATACATTCATACATATGCATACCTACAAAAATGTGTATATGCACGCCTACAAACGTACATATACATACATGCATGCATGCATGCATGCATACAGTCATGCGTACATACATCCATACGAGCTGCACAAGTGGATGTAAGGCATTCCTCTTCACGATGGGGCTCCCGTGTGATACTCCCTCCAAATAGCGACCAGACGTGTGATATTGCGCAAGCCTCTCTCAGTCCCTGTCGAAATGCAATGCAATTCCCTTTCGAAAGAGAGCTCTCGCCTGAATGGCAGGTCCATCCGGTGCTCGTCTTTCAAGGGTGCGCCTTTTTGTTACGAAAAAGAAATCCTGTACGGACTGCGGACGGGAGGGTGTACTGCAGCGTCGATGACTTTTCCTGGGTTGACTCTGGTCATCATCCTTCCCTCCTCCTCCTCTTTCTCCTCCTCCTCCTACCTACCCCCCCCCTCCTCCTCCGCCGTTGCCCTCCTTCTTTCGCTCTTCCTCTCCTCCTCCCTCCTCCCTCTCCTCATCCTCCTCCTAATCGAATCTTCCCCCCTCCTCCTTTTCCTCCTCCTTCATTAATCAGCAATGCAGCAGCATCATTTTTCCCCTTGTCGCCCATATTCTTCTGCACTCCCGTTCATTCTTCTCTCGTCCTTCCTTCATCGTTCCTTAGCCCTTCTCCTCCTCCTTCATAGCCCTCGCCCTCGCCCTCGTCGTAGCCCCTCGTCCGCGCCCCGGACGCATCCTTACTCTCCCTCCCCCTCCCCGCCGGGGGGGAACGCTAGGGGGGGACCGGCTCAGGGGCGAAAGCATCGACCTGGAATCGACGACAGATCACAGACACCTCGGCGACAGGCCCCCGAGAGCGAAACCGCAGGTTCATGGGCAGGGGGGGCGATCAGGCCACTATCGGCGGTGAGCGGGCGAGTGGCGGTCGATGCCTCTCCCCCCAAGAGCCCATGCCGCCCCCCCTGTGATCGTCGCCGTCCGGTGGTTCGGTCATACCTCGGCTCTCCGGCAGGGCTAATTCTGGCGCACCAGGAAGGCTCTCGGCGAGGCGCAGCCCCTGGAAGACATCCCGAGGCTGGAGAGCCGGCCAGAGCCCGCGAAGACGTCCGAAAACCTCAAAATGTGGAGCCTGCCCCTGAGCCTATCCCCCCCTTAACGTTGCCCCTGAGCCCATCCAACCCTGAGCCTATCCCCTCCTGACGTTGCCCCTGAGCCTATCCCCTCATTACGTTGCCCCTGACCCCTCCCCGCCCCGCGCCAACTGGAGGCGCCCCGCCTTCGCCCCGCCGCCCACCACGGTCCACAGCTCGCCGCTCGCCGCCACCGCCATTCCCAATGGCAAGCGCACCGAGGCGGTCGACAACGCCCGCGAGGACCCAGACGGGGCGCGAGAGGCGGCCACGGCACCTGAGCAGCGCGCCTTTCACAGCGAGGGGAGGGGCCGAGAAAGGGCGCGATGGGGCGAGGAGGAGCCCGGGCGAGCAGGAGTAGGAGGACGCTTCGCCTGAAGGCGAGGTTCATGCTGCCCCAGCCCGCTGAAGGACAGCTCACCGCCTGTGGGATTTGCTTCTTCGGGGCTTGGCCGCATCGTCTGTGTTTTAGGCCGGCGCCTGCTGTGCCTGCACGACCGCCCGGCAACAGCGGCCGCACTCCTCATGAAGAGGACGAGGCCAGAACGTGAACGAAGACTGCGACGAGGACGAGGACGCGGGGCAATGCGGGAGCAGCATGAGAAGAAGAATTATTGCTACTATCGCATAAATAAGGAAATACAGTGACTGGATAATGAAATAAGCAATAGAGAATTATTAAGTGCATTAAAAACATATAGATACATAAATACGTAACGATAATAGAAATGAGAATGAAAAGAAAAATATCCTGGCGAAGGACCCAACCACATGAACTGTGGGTACCGCAATTGTGAATATCTTTTTCGGTGAAGCTCCCTATGGGGCCACGAAGCGCTGCGCTGGGCGGGGGGCATGCGGGCGGTAGGACTGGGGCCGTCGGTGAAGCTCCCTATGAGGCCACGAAGCGCTGCACTGGGTGGGTGAAAACACAAAATTAGGCGTGTGGGACGCACGCGGGCGATCCCATTGGGGGGTTCGGTGGAGCTCCCCATGGGGCCGCGACGCGTTGTAAATGGTAGGTGGAAATACCAAATTGGGCATGGGGGACGCATGCGGGCGGCCCCACTGGGGGTTTCGGTGGGGCTCCTTATGGGGCCATGAAACGCTGTACTGGCTCTGTGAAAACCCAAGAAAAACCAACCAAAAAAAAAAAAAAAACTTGGGTGTGGGGGACGCATGCGGGCGTTCCCACTGGAGGTTTCGGTGGAGCTCCCTGTGGGGGACGCATGCGGGCGGTCCCACTGGGGGCTTCGGTGGAGCTCCCTATGGGGCCACGAAGCGCTGTACTGGGCGGGTGAAAATGCCAAATTGGGCATGGTGGGCGCACGCGGGCGGTCCCATTGGGGGTTTCGGTGGAGCTCCCTATGGGGCCACGGAGCGCTGTATTGGGTAGGTGGCAATGCCAAATCGGGTGCGGGGGACGCACGCGGACGGTCCCACTGGGGGCTTCGGTGGAGATCCCCATGGGGCCACGAAGCGCTGTACTGGGTGGGTGAAAATGCCAAGTTGGGCATGGGGGACGCACGCGGGCGGTCCCAGTGGGGGCTTCGGTGGCTCCCTATGGGGCCACGAAACGCTGTACTGGGCGGGTGAAAACGCAAAATCGGGTGTGGGGGACGCACGCGGGCGGTCCCACTGGGGGCTTCGGCGGAGCTCCCTATGGGGCCACGAAACGCTGTGCTGGGTGGGTGACAATGCCAAGTTGGGCGTGGGGGACGCACGCGGGCGGTCCGAGTGGGGGCTTCGGTGGGGCTCCCTACTGGGCCACGATACGCTGTCCTGGGCGTGTGAAAATGCCAAAGTGGGCGTGGGGGACGCATGCGAAACGTTGTGCTGGCTGGATGACAATGCCTAGTTGGGTGCGGGGGACGCATGCGGACGGTCCCACTCGGGTTTCGGTGGGGCTCCCTATTGGGCCACGAAACGCTGTACTGGGTGGGTGAAAATACCAAATTGGATGTGGCGGACGCATGCGGGCGGTACCACTGAGGGCTTCGGTGGAGCTCCCTGTGGGGTCACGAAGCGCTGTACAGGGTGGGTGAAAATGCCAAATTGGATGTGGGTGACGCATGTGGGCGGTACCACTGGGGGCTTCGGTGGAGCCCCCAAGGGGGTCACGAAGCGCTGTACTGGGCGGGTGAAAATGCCAAATTGGGCGTGGGGGGCGCATGTTGGCGGCCCCACTGGGGGCTTCGGTGGAGCTCCCGATGGGACCACACAACGCTGTACTAGGTATGTGAAAATGCCAAGTTGGGCATGGGGGACGCATGCGGGCGGTCCCACTGGGGGTTTCTGTGGAGCCCCCTATGGGGCCACGAAAGGTGTGAGGGATATACCGAAATGAGTGTTGGGGACGCATGCAGGCGGTGGAGAAGAGGAGGGAGGGGAGGAGAAGAGGGCAGGAACGCGGGGACCGTCTCTTCAAAACGATGACCCAACACCACAGGATGGTTGGGAACAAATATTAAAACTAAGAACTATAGCACGAAAATGCGAATCCTGGTAATAAAAAATAATGATAAGCATCATCGTCATAAGCATAACCATCATCATAACCAGATACAGAATCATAATAAAAATATGAACAATACTACTAATACTAATAATGCTAGTAATAGAAACAGGCGAAGGACCCAACCATACGCAATTGTGAATGACGCGTTGTGGGTGCCGCTTTCGGTGGGGCTCCTTATGGGGTCACGAAAGGCGTGCCACGAAACGCTGTCCTGGGCGTACGGGACGCATGAGGGCGGTAGCACTGGGGCCTTCGGTGGAGCTCCCTATGGGGCCACGAAACGTGTGAGGGGTGTGCCGAAATTGGTGCGGCGCCGCCATGCGAACGCAGCCACTGGGGCCTTCGGTGGAGCTCCCTATGGGGCCACGAAACGTGTGAGGGGTGTGCCGAAATGAGTGCGGCGCCGCCATGCCAACGCAGCCACTGGTGCCTTCGGTGGAGCTCCCTATGGGGCCACGAAACGTGTGAGGGGTGTGCCGAAATGGGTGCGGCGCCGCCATGCGAACCGCCGCCACGGGGGCCTTCGGTGGAGCTCCCTATGGTGGACGCACGAAAACGTGTGATGAGGTGTGCCGAATATGGGTGCCCCCCCGGCCTGCCCCGCCATTTGCGCACGCAAGCATACACTGGGGTCTTCGGTGGAGCTCCCTATGGGGCCGCGAAAACGTGTGAGGGGGTTGTGCCGAATGGATGGGTGCCGGGCCGCCGCCATGCGAATGCAAAAAAAGCCACTGGGGCCTTCGGCGGAGCTCCCTATGGGGCCACGAAACGTGTGAGGGGGCGTGCCGAAATGGGTGGTGGGGAGGCATGCGAACGCAGCCACTGGGGCCTTCGGTGGAGCTCCCTATGGGGCCACGAAACGTGTGAGGGGTGTGCCAGAATGGGGGGTGGAACCGCATGCGGGCGCAGCCACTGGGGCCTTCGGTGGAGCTCCCTATGGGGCCACGATACGTGTGAGGGGTGTGCCGAAATGGTGTGGCGGCGCAGTGCCATACGCACGCACCATGCGGGCCCTCGGTGGAGCTCCTTATGCGGCCAACGAAAAGCGTGAGGGGTGTGCCGAAATGGCGTGCGGGCGCCCCCATGCCGAACGCAGCACTGGGGCCTTCGGTGGAGCTCCCTTTGGGGCCACGAAACGTGTGAGGGGTGTGCCGAAATGGGCACGGCGCCGCCATGCGAACGCAGCCACTGGGGCCTTCGGTGGAGCTCCCTATGGGGCCACGAAGCGTGTGAGGGGTGTGCCGAAATGAGTGCGGCGCCGCCATGCGAACGCAGCCACTGGGGCCTTCGGTGGAGCTCCCTATGGGGCCACGAAGCGTGTGAAGGGTGTGCCGAAATGGGTGCGGCGCCGCCATGCGGACGCAGCCACTGGGCCTTCGGTGGAGCTCCCTATGGGGCCACGAAACGTGTGAGGGGTGTGCCGAAATGGGTGTGCGGGACGCATGCGGACGGCAGCCATGGGGCCTTCGGTGGAGCTCCCTATGGGGCCACGAAACGTGTGAGGGGTGTGCCGAAATGGGTGCGGCGCCGCCATGCCAACGCAGCCACTGGGGCCTTCGGTGGAGCTTTCGGTGGAGCTCCCTATGGGGCCACGAAAAGTGTGAGGGGTGTGCCGAAATGGGTGCGGCGCCGCCATGCGAACGCAGCCACTGGGGCCTTCGGTGGAGCTCCCTATGGGGCCACGAAGCGTGTGAGGGGTGTGCCAAATTGGGTGCGGCGCCGCCATGCGAACGCAGCCACTGGGGCCTTCGGTGGAGCTCCCTATGGGGACACGAAACGTGTGAGGGGTGTGCCAAATTGGGTGAGGCGCCGCCATGCGAACGCAGCCACTGGGGCCTTCGGTGGAGCTCCTTATGGGGCCACGAAACGTGTTGAGGGGTGTGCCGAAATGGGTGCGGCACGCGCCATGCGAACGCAGCCACTTGGGGCCGTCGTTGGAACTCCCTATGGGGCCACGAAACGGTGATGGGGTGTGCCGAAATGGGTGCGAGCGCCGTTATTATGCGAACGCAGCCACTGGGGCCTTCGGTGGAGCTCCCTATGGGGCACGAAACGTGTGAGGGGTTGTGCCGAAATGGGTGCGGCGCCGCCCGCATGCGAACGCAGCCACTGGGGCCTTCGGTGGAGCTTCCCTTATGGGCCACGAAACGTGTGAGGGGTGTGCCGAAATGGGTGCGGCGCCGCCATGCGAACGCAGCCACTGGGGCCTTCGGTGCAGCTATCCTATGGGCACACGCAAACGTTGTCCGTGAGGGAGTGTGCGAAATGGTCGGCGCCGCCATGCGAACGCAGCACTGGGGCCTTCTGTGGGGCTCCCTATGGGGCCACGAAACGTGTGAGGGGTGTGCCGAATTGGGTGTGCGGGACGCATGCGGGCGGCAGCACTGGGGCCTTCGGTGTGGCTCCCTATGGGGCCACGAAAACGTGTGACGGGTGTGCCGAATTGGGTGTGGGTGACGCATGCGGGCGGCAGCACTGGGGCCTTCGGTGGAGCTCTATGGCGGCCACGAAACGGGAGGGGTGTGCAAATGGGTGCGGTGGCGGTATGCGAACGCAGCCACTGGGGCCTTCGGTGGAGCTCCCTTATGGGGCCACGAAACGTGTGAGGGGTGTGCCGAAATGGGTGCGGCGCCGCCATGCGCACGCAGCAACTGGGGCCCTCGGTGGAGCTCCCTATGGGGC